TTAATATGGAAAATTTGTGACATGATAAAGTTGATCTCATTTGAAGAGAGAGAGAAAGATAATTATGTTTAATAAATTATGTATCAGAGAAATCATAGAGCTGTTATGTTAAAAGAATTTTATAGAACTAAACATTGTGTATTAAAATGTTCTAAATTAAAAAATATGGAGAACATTTTAATGCTCAAATATCTTTGTTTATTTATATTTTTTCTTATCTCTATTACTATTTATATAATGAGTTTTGCAGTGAAACTGCTACATTCTGTATCAATTTTATACTGTGCATATCATTTGTGTGTCTTTTAACTTTTATTCTCATAATAATTTTGGATACGTTCAACATTCTTTCTTTTCTTCCTTTTCTTTTTAATAGTCGTCTATAATTGTAATTTTTATTCCTGCCAAATCTATCTATAGCGACAACAAACATAGCAATAGTTTGAATAATTTTTCGATTAATTTCTGTTTAATTGAAATATTGTGAGAATTAGTGTTACATATGATAAGAATATCAGGCACTTCAATATTTTATATGTGAATTACAAATTTGACGTATAGCTTGCACTATTCTGTACGCTTGAAAAAACTCGCTTACATACAGTAATAATGCTACAATATTAATCTGTCGCATTATAATAAGCAGCAGCCAGACAAATAGAAGATTATCTTTCATATTTAATAACATAAATAAAATATTTCAATTACTATCCGTTATGGATTGTAATTAAATATTATAATTCATCACAAAATTATGATGCGAGAATATAGATATTACCGTTGTAATTTATACACAAAATATATACGCATATTATTAAGTGTAAAAGTGAATGAAAAAAGATGATTCTTCCACAGGAAAAGAATATCGTGATGCGTTCTTATAACATGTCATAATGTTTTTACATCGATGTTATAAATCGATAACTCGAATTATCATAAAAGATGGCATTTATTACCATCTAACAGCTAATGTATATAACAAAATGTTGATAAAAAAAATTAGAGTCTCTTATGTATTTTAAAAAAAGAGATGAAAATTACAAGAGTGTAAATTCAGTAAGTGAACATCAATCAAATTATAAATATTTTAGTGAATTCGTTCATTTTTATAATTTTCACCTCATTTTAAGATATATTATATTACAATCGATTCTCAGTTTCTGAATAAGGAAAAGAGATATATAACGTCTTTGCAAAACAATAATGCACGCCTTCATATTAATATTGATTTCTGATACAAAATCTGAGTTTTATTTCACAAATCTATTAATAAGAATAATTTAGATAATAATAGGATGCACGTTTTACTGAATTTAATAAAATAGGTATTAAATAGGTATTAAGAAATGTTTTTGTGTAACATAGAATATGTATACTTTGGTCTATAATAGACCAAAATTATCTTATAACATCAATGTTTTGTTTAGCACGACAGTGGCGGCCCTCAGATTATCCAAAGATTTTTTCTTTATCTCTATGCGGCAATTTTTGATTTATTTCCTCGCATGTTTCTTTTTATGTGCAGCATTATCTTTATCCAATCTTATTGTTTTCATCGCTTTCCATTCTCAGAAATTAGATCTCTTTCATTCAGATCATTTCTGCTTTTGTTCTGCGTATCACTTTCGATTCTTTTTTGTTTGTTAAATTTAGCCGAGACTGAGTCTTTTTAAATAAGTTTCTCCACTTTTTCGCAAATGTCTTTAGAATATTATTCGATTTATTTGAAATTAATTAGATAAGATTCGATTACTTTAATAAAGAAGAACTTTAATGTATAATACAAAGTTTCTAGATAAACTATAATCTATATTATATAGATTAATATTATATGTTCTACAATTTATATTATATAGACTAATACGTTTTTCTTTCTGTTCATCATCAGTGATGTCAACACAATTGTTATCTTTTCTATCTTTTCTCTTTAGTTTTTTGCTGTATAATTATCGTGTAGTGGCAGAGACATTTTATTAGTTCTTAGTACTTAGATTCTTTTTTTTTTCATACAATTTTTAGGTTCAGCAACATCTCTATCAGTTTCTACGCTATCTTGTTTCTTTGCCTTATTACGACGCATTAATTTTTTATTTTTTCATTAATTATTAATCATTTTGTATCTTATATTAAAAAATAATAATAAAATCCTAAAAATAACTCTTAATCTTTAAATATCAAACTGTTTTTATATTTATATTCACATGTACTTGGCCTTTTGATATTAAAATAAGAAGAATTACTTCTCATATAATGAGACTAGAATTTTGCTATGATGTAAAACAATGTTTATCATTTTCTTTTCTGATAATTTTCTAACAAAACATCTCTGCCGCTACACAAAATTATAAAGCAATTTCAAAAATATAGACGTTTTAACTTCCTTTTAATAGCTGATAATTATAGTTTTCAAGAAAAATAAAATATAAGACTATTTGAGATGATGTATATCCGAATGATAAACTACTTTTTATATTTATCATTTTTCTATTGCATTGATATGAATAGATGTCTCTTTCACTATTTGCGAATCTGTTGCACTATTAGAATTCTCCATCAAGCTCAATGAATTGTATCTATCAGCATTTTATTATATATTGAAAAGAGATCGAAAGCTCACGCTATTCTTGTGCATATTTTTCATGGTAAAATAATCTAGCTAATAGGGGTATTCGGACCGAAATTACATTATGGATTAAAATTTCGATCTGATTACGATCCAAGACCAGGTTCCGATATCAATTCCAGTTCTTTTAGTAACAACGGTGACAGTTACAAATATAATTACTGAAACCGAAAAGGATCCGTTACGATAAAAGAACTGTAATCAAAAATTGGATTTAATCTCGAACGG